GCCACTTTGCTGCAACGCGTGTTTCCCGCGCGATCACCTTTGACTATAGGGGGTCAACTGCGACGGTGACCTACAGGCGTCGGCACGCCCGGGGAGCCCACGGAGCGATCCTAGCGATGTGCGACAGGGGGGGGGGGTGAGGGTGAAGAAAGAGCAGGAAATCTGTCCCCCCTCTGTTCAACCTCGTACATATCTACAGTTGTAGCCGCATTGGATATTGGGTAGACAACTCAACCTCAAGACAGCTAACTGGCAAAGAGAAAGAGCTGACCTGGCACTTTTCTGCTCCGAGTGATTATTTGCATTGACCATCGTGGCAACGCTCATATGGTCATCGGCTCCAGAACTTTCACTTTTCATCTGAAATTAATAAATTTCGTTCAATTGACGCTCATCTATTGCAGATTATTTTCAGATATCTATACATTTTGTCAGACTGTATCATCCAGTGAGACACTGGATGATTTCATGCTTCAAAATCTGTTTACTTTTGATAATATTTTGTGACCATTGATCGGCATTGTCTTATCTTCATAATTAGTTAGTAACTGATTCCAACTGATTATGTTAGATACTTCAAGTAATATCTTTAGATGATATTGGCCTTTTGATAATATTTACTGTCCAGATCCATCAAAACCAGTAAGAAACCTTGAGTGGAAGCAGCCCATCTAGGGCTACTATTTTGCCTGAACGGTTCGTTCCCCAGACTATCCTGATAGATACTCAGTAGGGTGAATTATTGAATAGTGTTTCTAATTGTATCGTATGAAATCGTACGATGCTATATTGATTTATTGCATGACATTGAAATGTCGTACTGTATACCTGAAGTTGTGTATTGAGAAGTCCGTAAAGAATCCAGTTGGATGAACTTCCAAAATATGGTAATAAATGAACACAATAGATCACAAATAGTAGTAGTTCACTATTGGTTGTTGGTAAACCAGCCAATGACATCACAATAGCGTACAGCACAGAGAACCTTAAATTTAAATCAAATTAATTCCCCATAAAAGTAAAAAAAAAAACTAAAAGATCTCAGAAAAGAACCGGATCAGCCTGGAGCGAGAAAAACTGACCAGTAAGGTGTCCAACAAACAAAATAGACGGCAGCAATAAGTACGGTATACATAACAACTCGTCGAAGTGGTATGGAAGAACGTGGTAGCACCCTTAAATTGACGGTAATCATTACAGTAATCGGATCGTATCCCAATTTTTCGGCATATGAAGAAAAGCTAACCTTTTATGGACACATAGTTTACGAATGAGCTTCCAATTGAAGAATACGATGAGAATCAACGGGACAACATAACCAAGAATGAAAGTTCTGAAAATAGTGACCATAATATAATAGTTGTGAATGTTCTTCTATTTTGCGCTCCTTGATCTCATTCATTCAACAGGACCCGACGTCTGTGATCAATCAATAACCCACCACCCACGAGCCCCAGTTGGGAGTGAATGCCTATTCTTCCGAATACCCACACAAAACTCCTCAATATTGCATAGCTAGGGCGTGTGTTTTGCGACTTTGGAAAAGAAAAGTAGGAAAACCTGTTCTCAGAGGAGTGCGGAAAAAGGATTACAATTTTTGGGTGGGCCCGTGGCTGTGCTCGAACGGCATGTCGCATAAGGAGACAACTAGCTAGGAACCCCCACTTGGCATGTTCGATTTGAACATAGAGTCACCCATTTTGTGATTTCCACCTCCCGATCTCAACCTTATCCACATACTTTCGATAACTCAACTTTGTAAACTCGGATTACACTTACGTCGACGTGAACCAGTAGAAGATCGGTGGTGGCATCATGTCGGAGCACTTGAAGACTCGAACTCTTGTAATATTAAAGCTATCCATAGCCTTCAGTTCATGGAGCACCATCTCTTTCGCTCGTGCGTACGTCAACATTGGCAGAAGAAGAAAAAATGCCAGTACTGATAGACCTGTAAAAAAGGGCTCTCAGTTGGATCGTTTAGTACCACTGGGGAGGACTATTGGATTCATCCTACTAGAAAGCATTCGCTTTGGGTTCGTTTAAAGGAGCGATCCATTTGGAAGTCTTTCTTCAGCTTGACTACACCTTTCCTTTTTATGTTCACAACTTCTTTAGTACTGGTTCATGACAAACATGAAGTTCGGCACATGCCGCATTTCGAGGCAATCCTTACTATATATAATCCACAAGTTTGGTGTGTCTGTTTGTAT